CCCTTTGCTAAATGGGACATATTTATTTTCACTTTACTGTCATTTATTTTTTTTACCCAAACCTATGTAAAAAGATATATGATAAGAAACATCTTTGGATATATTGATTACAAAAAATAAACCTACAACTTCATTTCCAATAGCGTTTATTGTTGCCGCAAATTTTGGCATTTCCTTGCCTTCAACATATACTTGCTGTCCACGATGAAACCATCTCCTTTCATACAACAGTTTACCGTCCTCAATTCGAGTTTCAACATAATTATTATAATTTTCCGTCAGCAAAGAGTTGGACTGGTGGTTACTATAATTACCTATACCATTTTGCTGCAGAGCTACACAGAAACATATATTTTAATCTTGAATTTGAAAATGTGACCAATTTTCGCACATACTTGGAGTCAACGGTTTTCCGCGTTGTATCGTTTTGAGGTCATTCTCAATATCCTTCTCATCAAGTAAATACACCAACAGTTGTCCAGTAGTTGGTTTCCGTCGTTTTTCAACAACAGGCACTGGTTCATTTGGACGACGCCGCAACTTACGTGTAACAGTAGGCTTAATCTGTGAAAGTATTTTTAACATTTTTATGCACTTTGTTAAATAAAAAATAATTATAATACCTCTGTAGAATCACCGGTTACTTCGAGACTGTAGCGTTCCATTTCAATAACTTTTCTTCGCTCATCGAAATCAGTTAAAATGTTGTCTTTTAAATCAACCTATAAAACGTTAAATAAAAATAAGTATTTATCTACACATCTCCCCCGAATTCGTACCTTTTTCTCATCAAAGTCTTTTTGTGCTGCTTTCTTTTCTAAAAAATAATCGCGTTCTACACAATCTTTTAGATACTCTCGATGTATGTCATTTAAACGCAGACGATCTTTGATTTGGTACTCCAATTTTCTGAAACGCCTTAAGTACTCAGGATGTAACAACTGTTTCAGCTCTTCTAACTGCTTTTGCACGTTTGCCAATTTATGTTGGTACATTCTACAATAATAAACGTAGTCACAATGCAAGTAAAGCGAATAATTCTAATATGAATTAGAACATTTTAAGTCAACTTACTGTTCCTTAAGCTCATGATTGCTGCCCCCATTTGTATTGTTGCTAACGCTGTTGTCCCTGCTGTTGTTGCGGTATTCAGTTTCACTCGCGTCATCCGTATCTAATAACCAAGTTGAAATAAAAATTATTTTGAAACCATTTAATAAAAATGTAAACTAAATTTTATTATGAACATAAGGCAATTAAAATTACACACCTTCATCCTCATCTTCTTGACGACCACTATCATACGCATTTTGTTCAAAATGATTGGAACGAGAGTCCTCGTAATCTGGATCCAAATACGGGATTTGATGATAAAATGCATCAACAGACATAGCTTACTAATATAAAAAATTGTTATAATATTTTTTATACAAAATATCACTTTTTTCGTTTAACTAGCAGCCACTACACAATCTCAACAAAAAATTCTCTACACTTCCAAATAATGCAATTACGTACAGAAAGTCAACTATCACTGACGCATTGAACATATGTTAAACAGGGTTGCCATTAGCAAATGACTCGGCAAAGGAACGTCTGGGCAAATTGAAACACATTCCGATAATGATTGTCATAGCATATGTTTATATGTATGCACATATATCCACAAGCTCTATAATATATATATGTTTAAACTTCTGTTTTTATCATGTAAGTGAGCAATTTTCATTTTCTACTATTTGCATTTTAATGTGATTCATACAAATATCATATGTTTGCTTTGAGTTAAAATTCTCAAAATAAACTTTTTATATTTTAGCAAAGTTTACTTCTATTGATAAATAAATGATTGTAGAAACACCTTGTACCTTACTATATCAAAAACCTTATAAATAATTACATCCGATTTAATTTTTATATCGCTTAGGCTTAGGGAAATAGTAAATTATATCTATATGGCAGCGAATATTGGTATTTACCAAAATTTCGAGTAAGGTAAATTAGTTAAAAATTAGGTGTTACCACTGTGAAAATTTTATAAGATGTTAAATAAATAAAAGCAATTTTTTTTCGTTACGCTCAAAGTGGGCGGAGTTTCCATTCTTTGAAAGGTATTGTTTGTTTATGTCATTTTGTGTACGTGTTGAAAATCAATATATGTAAGTAGTGACTGCTTTGTACAACTTATTTAGAGAATAATTATATTAGGGGTATATTCACACTTTGTCCTGCAAACTCATTGCAAGGTGCATGAAATGCAAGTATGCTATACAAAAATTGCAAGAGTGCGAGAACACCTCTGTTGCAAAATTGCATCATCAAAATGAGTCAGTTGTTTTTGCAGCCGTATCACATTGAGCAAAAAAAAATAAATATATAACAATGCCGCGAACAAGTGAATTACAAAAATGTATAGTTATTTTAATTGAAAATATTGCTTTTAATATTCTGACTGAAGATATTCTACTTCCTTCTGCAGAAATTCTATTATTTGGAGCACTTTCAGTTCGTTCCACTTCTTGTGCGGCTGCAACCTTTTTTTTTAGTTGCTGGTGCTTCGTTTTCCATTTTTATCTAAAAATAATTAGAAAATTTCGCTACAAAATTCAAATTTAAAAATCAATTTACATTGAATCAACAAATGTCAAAACAGCTGATTTCTGCCATTTTACATAGGTTTTAGTATAGGAACATTGCAAGTAGTTGCACTAAACTTTGTGCGTATATTTTGTTTTTGTTAATGCATGCTCGTACAATCTGTGAATTTCGTGCACCTTGCAATGAGTTTGCAAGAGAGAGAGTGAATACCCTTAATGTTTGTGAAATTATTTAAAAAATGAATAAAGCAATAACTATATACAGAAAACAATGTGCAACGCATTGGAAAAAATTAATAGTTATTTAAAAACAGCAAATAACATTACTTTCCTCTAAATTAAATTAAATCACAAATTAATTTTTTAAATATCTATAGCATATTTAATTATGAAAATATAACACTTTATTTAATATTACTTACGTAATTTTTTTTGGAAAAAAAGTTTTTGATAACTAAATAATATACCACACAAAAATATAATTGTATAGCGGGATAGTCCATGTATCTACAACAATTTGTTCAAGTGATTGAGCACCGCACAGGTCTAAAATAATCCACGTCGATGCACTGAGTAGTGTGGCTTGCTTAATGATGGAGAATGCTTTGCAGCATAGAATCAAAGAGGCCAAATACTAGAAGACTGGATTCGAGCAATTAGAAAAATTTTAGAGAAAAATAATTATGAGGACTACTATACCAAATATGACATTCTATAAAGATCCGAACAAGGAATTCATGGTGATATCAGCTGCTATGGAGCAAGAAATAATAAAATTCGCACATTGTCAGGGATGTTTTGCTGCGGAAAAAACTCAAGACATCATTGAGAAGAGTTTCTGTATAAGAAACTTAAGTGCAAAAGTGACGACTGTGGTAAAAAGATGTGTAGAGTATCTTCTAGCGGAAGCAAACCTGAGTAAAAAGGAAAGACTCTTAAACCCTATTGATAAGTTTGATAGACCTAACAATTTTAGCTCGAAGTTAAAAATATGTTTTAAGTTTATATTGTAAGGTTTGAAGGCATATTTAACATTTTTGGCACAGGCCAAATATCAAATCAACAGGCAAGTTGAAAGATCAGCTGTTTGAAATGAGAACAAACGAATTACAACGAATGTAAACACTTTTAAATGACTCAATTTAAATAAGACATTTTCAGCTAATGTAAACGCCATATTATTGTTGGAATGAAAGATGTTACTTTTATGAAACAAACAGAAAACTCAGGCTTGTTCCATAAATTCTGACAGTTTTTTCAAATTGGTAGTACCTGGTAGCACTGCATAAGCACTTTTGCATTATAAATGCAAATTCTGCGCTATTATTTCAAGTTTTGCATTCCATACACAAACCATTTTTATTTGCATATTTTTTGACACTGTAATGCCAATTGGTGTGATAGCTGATATGATAGCTGTTTCGTTAATTAAACGCCGAAAGAATACTAGAAAGCATTTAGAGTTTTACAGTTTGGTAGCCACTGGTAGTTAATGCACAAACCATTTTAAATCATCTGAATGCAAATTCTACGTTCTCGTTTCAAAACTTTCGTCAAACGTTAAACTGTTTTAACAAAAGAAACTGGTTCGAAAAGTAAAGAAAGTCAACTAGTTCCGTTTTTTTTAAAATTACTTAATCGAATTGATTTAATCATTTTCTCATATTTCTCATATTTCTTTTCTTTCTATTCATATATTCGCAGCTCTAATTTAATAAAAAAATTTTAAATTATTGGATATTGGGTACAATTAAAATAAGTTTTTCGGTTTAGTACTAATATTTATATTTAGAACTAGAATACATTCCGATTTAGATCACTTCGACACCGTATCACTGAATGGTTCAATAATCTGCTTGTTGTAATCTGTGTAACTTTAAGACAAGTGACAAGTGAAAATTGCAAATGAATTCTACTAAAGTTTTTTGGCTGAACTCAATCGCAAAAAGTAACTAAATGTATTAAGAAAATGCATTTTTTTTAAATGCTACTACAAATTGTTAAAATTTTATTTTTTTGATGGCAAATAACGTTTGTTTCATATTTGTCACATATTACGAGCATTTTATTACGAATGTTTACTCTTTCAATAGTGATCATCCGCAACTTTTATAACACACTTTTAAATTAAAGAAAAATGTTTAAAAAAATATTTTGAATCTTGAGAGTAATAATAGGCCCTTTCGGTGGCTCGCAAGTATGGCAAAAAATGTATGCTTGCCTATATTGATCACGAGAGCTACTGGCTTTACTGTTGCAGTCTGTCAAGTTTTATGTTTTGACAAATAGCATAATCCAAGCAAATTACATTTTGTAGAAAAACAATTAATTAACATAGATTGAAAATTAAATACTATACTATATACTATACTGGCCGAAATGTACTCAAAACAACAACTCTATTTCACTATTTTGGTCAGTATTTATTTACTGGCTAAACACTTCGGCCTGTAAAGCAAAAGTGTTACCAACGCAATAAGCGAATTATTGTGAACCTTCATTGAAAACTTCAATGAATATTGCAATCATATGTCAAAAATCATATTTAAACAAAAATTTCAAATAATATTCAAAAATTTCATAAATTTGAAAATTTCATAAATTTAAAAATTGAGAAAAAATATCAATGTTTAATTTTGAAATTTTCAACATCCTTACCATTCATTTTAATTCTGTATTCATTTTACTTTTACTTTTATATTAACTATTTTATACAAAATGTAATTTGCTTACATTTTGCGCACATATGCAAGATTTGCTATTTCTCAAAACATAACACTTGACAGATTGCAACAGTGATGACAATGTCACGCTTAGCGAATATAGGTTAGCATGCGTTTTTTGCCACACTTTCGAGTCAACGAAGAACCAAAAAGGCCTAAAATCGTTTTGAAGTTTAAATTTAAGTAGGGTGTTGGGTCGAACTAAGTAATTAAATAGTACTTAAAAATTAAGCACGAAATAATAGTAAGTTTTTGATGTTGTATATAACAGACTAAAACAAACACAAAAATATATATTACTGACATTTTCTAATTTTTCTAATTTTTCTTTGCGTTGGATTAAATTCTCACGATTTTCAAAATTTTGTATAAATTAAATTTTTTAAATTATATTATATATAAAATCATATCGGTTTATTAATTTTAATAGTTTTTCAAATAATATGTGAAAAAATAATATTAAATTCATGTCATGTATTGACATGATTGATCCTATAGAATAATTTCCGGCTGCTTAAAATGACTTGGCTTCACTGTTTAAATCAGTAAAAATATAACAAGTAAAATAATTTAAAAAAAATTTATGATTGATAAATACATGTAAATACAAAAATTCCTGCAAATTATTTTGTAAAAAAGATTTTTTCTTCATATAAATATATATAAAATGAATGACACAAAGAAGTTATTGGTGAGCATTTTGTATTGTATTTGAATTTATATTAAAGTACACATTTTATTTAGGCTTTATCTTAGATAATACAGAAAAATAATGAAATAAGGAGGAGACGAAGAGTGCTAAATATTGACAAAATATTCAAAATTGTTTATAGCTCTAACTCTTCAGAAGGCAATACGAGATCGTCAATATATTCGTTTAAATAATTTTCAAACTTTTAACATCACTAGTTAACGCTAAATGAGCAGTATTTAACACTATTTTCTTTTTCTTGAAATTATGTTTTATCAGTTTGCTTTTATTATAACGATTGTGTTTTGTATTTATTCATGTATTGCATTTTTAATGAACATAATACAGTAATTATAAATTCTTTAATACAAATAACACAGGTCAACAAAAAAAAATTTTTTTTTTATCCTAGATATGTTATTGAGTGATCCTAGAGGTATTTTGCGTGCTGATTCCAAATCTGGACTTAGATTTTTTCTATCACGTCTAGTTTTCTTTAGACAACCAGATTAACGGTTGATTCAAGGGGTTTCAGCAAATAAATCGTGAATTTAAAAAATGGTACTTACTTATGTTTTTCTCGCATATTGAGCATCTGGTAAGTCCCTTTTTAGTGTCCAGCAGTAATCTGCTAACATGTTAGTGAAATTTCCTTTGTGGCGTTTTTCCATGTGTAAAATATCCTGGTGAAAACGCTCACCATGTTCATCACTAACGGCGCCAAGATTTGGTGGAAAAAAGTCCAGGTGAGAGTGTAGGAAGTGAAGTTTTAAAGACATATTGCAGCCCATTTTTTGGTATGAATCAATTGGATTAGCCACCAGATCGCGATAATTTTCAGCTAACATATTTCTTAAAAAATGCTCAACTACATTTTTGAATGAGTTCCACGCGTTAATTTCTGTTGAACTCAATTGCTGTTGAAATTCCGAGTCCTTCAGCAGTTCTCTAATCTGTGGCCCAATAAAAATACCTTCCTTAATCTTTGCCTCACTTATTTTAGGAAATTTTTGCTTCAAATAAGTAAAACCGCCACCATTTTTATCCATGGCTTTAACAAAATTTTTAAAAAGTCCTAATTTAATGTGCAGAGGTGGCAAAAGAATATTTTTAGGATCGACCAAAGGCTGGAAGAGGACATTTTTGATTCCAGGAACGAGTGCTTTACGTTGTGGCCAATCTTTTTTCAAGTAATGCAATTTTCTGTCTCTGCTATCCCACTCGCAGATGAAGCAACAATATTTCGTGTAACCAAGTTGTAAGCCTAGTAAAATTGCAATAACTTTTAGGTCACCACAAATTTTCCACTTATATCTTTCGTATTGAATTTTTTTTAAGAGAAACTGCATATTCTCGTAAGTTTCTTTCATATCAGTTCCATGGGCTAACGGTATTGAGGGAATTTCATTTCCATTATGTAAGAGAACAGCCTTTAAACTGACCTTAGAAGAATCAATGAACAAACGCCAATCATCATCGTTGTATTCAAAATTAAGAGTATCCATAACAGATAGAACATCATTGCAAAAAATAAGGTTGTTTTCTTGAGAAAAGAATAATTTAAATTCGTCATGGCGAGATCGATACATAGAAATTTTAGTTTTTGGATCCAACAATTTCCAAACCTTTAATCGTGATCCTAAGATTTCATTCTTCTTTTTGCACAACTTTAAATCGCGCACTAGATCGTTTAAACCGTCTTGCGTTATAAGATGAGGTCCATCAGATTTATTAATTCGTAATATTATTATTTATACATATTTATTAACCACGCTATTTATATACATATATTTACATAACGGAAATAATGTATACTATATATATCATATATAAATGAAATACCCAACGCTTAACCCAATCTTTCATACACTTTTCAAAGGCCCGTGAAGGTATGGCTTTTAGTTCCTTCGGCGAATTTTCTTTTACCGATTCAATCGACTCAAAACGCTTACCACGAAGGGGCAATTTGAGTTTCGGGAACAGAAAAAACTCGCACGGATCCAGATCTGGCGAATATGGTGCCTGAGCGATGACAGTGGTGCCGTGTTTGGTCAAAAAATCGCGTACAACAAGAATTTTCCATAGTAAAAATCGCTAAATGCACTTGAGGTAGTCTCACATTAACAGCTGCTGTAAACAAACTAATTGTCAGATGGCGCTGAAATTTGTATCATATGTCAAGAAAGAGTGTACCAACATAACAAAAAAAAAATTTTTGAAAAAGGTCTATTACTTAAAAAGTAGTTAACAAACAACAAAATCCGGATACTTTTTGAGCAGTAGGTAAATTACGACTTTATAGCAAAAATATACATTCAACTGTTTTTAAGAATCTAGACGTG